GTGGTGACGCCTCATGGCAACAGGAGAACCAACCGTGTCTGCCTATGTTTTCAGTCAGCAGTGAACAGTAGGGTCTCAGAGGAGATGCCACCTGCTGAAGGTCACTCTTCAAATAATAAGGTGAGCGATTTTCTTTTTCTTTCCTTATTTGTGTGTGGGGGAGGGGGTGCTGGTTTCCCTGTTTGGAACCTGGGTCCTTTTGCAGGTGGTCAAGTGCTCTCCGACTGAGCCACATCTTCTGCCTTGAGGACAGCATTTTGCCTGGCTTTTCTGACACTCTGAGGCCCCCAATGCACACCCAGGCCTTCTGTGAATACAGCTCTTCTGGTCCCAATTGGAGAATCCTCAGACAGAGCAGGAGGAAGTGCTGACCCAGGCCTCCCATCCTGAGGTGTTCTTTCCCTCCATCATTGTTTGTGGGATAATCCTTGATCCTCAAATTTACTTGAGCCCCCATGCAGAAAAATGTCTCCAACCAAAAGCAGGATTGAGCAGGTCAAAGGCTGGTGTCCAGTGGTCACAAATTGTGCAGGGTAGTCACGTTCCAAAACTGCTGGTGGATACTTCACATTGAGCTTGTCCAAATCTTGTCTGCCATGTTTTATTTCTACACACTCATGGTAAGGTCATTTTTAACTTAGGCACAGTGAGAGATTAACAATAATAAATAGTGAAATAAAAATAAAGCAGGCTCCCCAGTAGTCACTGCTATACCTTTTCACTGAGACAGAAATATCACTTGAACCCAGGTGTCAAAGAACATCCTGGGCACATAGGGAGATCAGTTTTTTAAAAAAAACCAGTAGCTCATGTGGGATATATCCTTGATCCTCAAATTTACTTGAGCCCCCATGCAGAAAAATGTCTCCAACCAAAAGCAGGATTGAGCAGGTCAAAGGCTGGTGTCCAGTGGTCACAAATTGTGCAGGGTAGTCCACGTTCCAAACTGGCTGGTGGATACTTCACATTGAGCTTGTCCAAATCTTGTCTGCCATGTTTATTTTACACACTCATGGTAAGTCATTTTTAACTAGGCACATGAGAGATTACAATAATAAATAGTGAAATAAAAATAAAGCAGGCTCCCCAGTAGTCACTGCTATAACCTTTCACTGAGACAGAAATATCACTTTGAACCAGGTGTCAAAGAACATCCTGGGCACATAGGGAGATCAGTTTTTTAAAAAAACCAGTAGCTCATGCCTGTAATCCTAGCTACTCAGGAGGCAGAGATTGGGAGGATCAGGATTCAAAGCCAACATCAGCATATAATCTTTTGTTTGGTTGGTTGTTGGGGTTTTTGTTTGTTTGTTTGATTTTGGAGGCACTAGAATTTGAACCAGTGCCTCAAAGTTGCTAGGCAGGTTCTCTACCACTTAAGTAACACCAGCAGTCGTTTTTTTGTTTTTTTTTTTGTGATGAGTCTTTCAAGGTAGGTTCTCATGGACCATTTTCCAGGGGTGGCTTCAAACCAACATTCCCCTGATCACTTCCTCCTGAGTAGCTAGGATCAGAGGCAAGAGCCACCGGTGCCTAGCTGCAAATACTACTTGAGACCCTATCTTGAAAATACCCAACACACACACACACACACACACACACACACACAAGGATTAGTGGAGTGGCTCAAGTGGTAGATTCCCTGCCTAGCTAGAATGAGGACCTGAGGTTAAACCCCCATAACACCAAACAAACAAAGCACCATTGGGTGGATTAGCAAATAGCTGTAGTCCCAGCACTCTGAAGCTGATTCAGGAGAATGGAGCATTTCAGTTGTCTGCTCTATGTATTGAGATTCTGTCACAAAAAGCAAAAACAAGACCTTCTCATCAGTTAGCTGTATCTGATAAACAGGATTTCATGTATAGTTCTCCTTTCCAAGGGAAGTACAGGGGGCCATGGAAAAAATAAAGAAACTGAGGCTCGAGGAGCAGTGGATCCTCCAGAGTTACACTTTCACTGAATGGCCAGGCCAGACAGGAAACTCAGACACTGGAGTCCCAGCTCAGCCTTTATTGCCACAGAGTTCATCTCTAGAGGAGAAGGAGGGAGTGACAAGGCTGGTTACCCAGCAGCGGTGCGGTGGATAGAGAGGTGACTTCTCACCTTCTCCTGCACAGTGCGGTGACTAGGGCGGCCACAACTCATCGTGTATGTCAAAATAGTATAGAGGACTCTGCTACCAACACCAAGACGTGGAAACGCCTGAGGCATGACACCTGGTCAACACACAGTGTTGCACATGTATGGAAATGTCACTGTAGCCGTCAATATATAAAACAATGTGCCAAATAAGAACGGTACATGAAAATGATTGTATAGAAAACAATGCAAACGAGACACTGCTTAACGACTGTAGCATATTAGCACCGTGGGACAGGGAAGCCAATACACAAAGGAATTTCACAACTACAAACCCATGTGTGTAACAGAGCCCAAGGAATCACAGCAACCCAGTGACATCCATTCACTACCAAGTCCCTTAAGAGATGGGACCCAAAGGCGGAGATTCGGGAGGTACCGATGTGGGGAGGAGGCAGCGGGTTAAGAGAGTAACCCATGGGGAATTTGACCAGCTGTATGCGAATGGCACAATAAATCCTTCTACAATTAATTTGATCTAACAAGAACAAAAAGAGTCAGAGATCCATGCATCTCCAAGCAGGCATCAAGCGTTCACTTGGAATTGAGACATGAGGGGCTGAGGAGATTGTGGGACTGGCAGAATCAGGGACTGGCCCCTGCTGGCCAGGGCTCGATCTCTACTTAACACGGGGCGGGAAGAACTTTGCGCAGCTCTTCAGGAAACGTCGCCCATTGCCCAGCAACGGGATCTGAGGGCGGGGGAGTGCTACTAGTTCCTGCCCCTGGCAGGTGGATCGGAGTCCAGCCAATGGCGGCCGAGAGCTACGGAGTCCTAGATTCCAATTGGCGGAGAAGCGCGTGGGTCTGTAGACAGCAGCCAATGGCGTGGAGAACGTGTGGACCCCAGCGGAGCGGGGCGGAGTCACAGCAGGCCCGGACTGCGCTGCGGGCCTGAGGTCCCGCGTGAGCAGGCGCAGCAGGTGGAAGGTGACAGTGGCTTCACGACAGCGAGGCGACTCCTGGAACCCGGGAAGGAGGCCGGGCGAGGCTGAGTCAGGTTTTCCTATCCCAAGAGTGCCCGCTACAGCCATCTTCCAGCTGCGGTCCCTGGCGTCCCCGCACGCTATTCCGGTGGTCACCCCCCCCCACCCCCCAGTGACGTCTGGAGCACTCCCGGTTCTTCCCGCATCGGGCCGCCTCCTTGGAATCCGGGACGACGTCCTGGTGGCACAGGCGGGATCAGCTACAGCAGGAGGTGGACGCGAGGCCAGCAAGAAAGCCCGAGGCGGGCGCCGCACCTGTCCCCGCGGGTCAGTGCCATCAGGACCCCAGCCCGCATCGGTGAGGACGTGACAGGGAGTCGATCAGGTTTCTTTTCGGCAGGACGGATCCACCAAGCGCTGGATGCTAGGGCCAACGGACGCGGGCATCACTCACGCAGGTCGCCACGTCCCTGCACGCAGCCGCCCGCAGCTCGAGGGTCGGCGTTACCGGGGCTGAGATCGGGCAACGCAGGCCGCTCCGCACCGCCTGGGCGTCCGCGATGGCCCGGGCCACGTGGCGGAGCCAGGCACAGGACTGCAGGGGCCCGCCGAGTTAGAGGCGCCACCCAGGCATGTCCACCCAGTCCTAACCGCAGGGTCCCCTCACCGAGGGCCGCGCAGGGTCTGGCGGGGGAGGACTGAGCAGTTGCGCGGTCGCCAGCTCGGCGTGTCCCCCTCCTGTGGGTCCTGCGCCTGTGATGCCGCGTCCTCCGGGCCCGATCGCGGCTCCCGGTTCCCGCCCACGAGGGACCAGTCGCGGATGGCGGGGCGCGGCGTGTCTGTCCCTGAGCTGTCCTAGTGGGAGCCGGGCTGAGAAGCGCCCCGCGCGCTCCCGTCGCAGAGAGCGACTGAAGAGGAGCTGGGGCCGCCCGCTGGGTCGCCATCAGGGACAGACCTGCAGCCTGGGTGAGTGCCAAGGAACAGGACACTGGACGCGGCCTATCAGAAGTCTGCACCTTGAGATCCGGTAGCGCCCTCAGGACAGGGCCCAGCGTGGGACACTGCCACCCGTAGTGGCACATGAGTCTGTCCCTCTCTTAGGCGGGTTCCTTTACAGAAAGAAGTTGAAATATTTTCAAACAATTATTTGCAATCTGTACCGCTGTTGAGAAGTGTCTCTTCAGATCATCACCCACTTTTATTTGGGCGCTTTTTCTGCCTTTCTTAGGAATTTGAGTTCCTTATATATTGTGAACACTAATCCTCTGACGGCTGAGTAACTGGCAGAGATTATTCCCATCTAAGCCTGCACTCAGTGGATATTCCTTTGCTTTGCAGATGTTTTTAATTAGTCATCAACCCACGTGTCAGTTCCTCCTTATTTCCTGAACTCTGGAGTCCCGGTCAGGAGATCGTGCACTGCACTGTGAAGATGGTGGACTAGAGTTTCCTCTGCGTGGTGCCAGAGGCAAAGGGGTCAGAACAAGTACGAGGAAAGAATGTGCTAGGAGAGGACAGGACCATAGGGAGGACTACTGAACGCAAAAGTGGACAGCAATAAAGTCTTCCCAGAGCCACCCAGGAAAGCAATTCCTCCTGGGAACTGAGGCAGGGAGCCTCACAGTCCCAGCCTCCATCTCCAGACCTGGGGATGGGCAGTGGGGTCCTTGTAAGAGGCAGCATTTGTGGTCATTTGCTATGGCAGAAAAATAAACACGTGCACATCAACACACACGGGCCACATCACAATCTTTTATACATTATTTATTTGCACAATGTTTACAAAGAGTAGAAAAATAAAATATTTGATGTGATTAGAGAATCCACACACATAAATAAATGCATAAATAGTGATGGGTGGCCATAAATAAGATGGGGATGAGGCATAAATGAAATCTAGGATTCCAGGACATGTGACACTGGGTGTGAGGGTCACACACACAGGTCTCCTCTGCTGACACACTTCAGGTCCCGGGTGAGGAGGCGGAAGAGATTGAAGGTGACAGAGGCCTGGAGGCAGCCAGGGGACTCCTGTGGAGAAGAGGGGTGTCTCAGGGCTCCCTGTGCTTTGGGCTCTGAGTTTGGACACATCTGTCCTCTCCCACCACTGGACACTCACCTTCTCCACGGCCTCCTGGAGGCGGTGCAGCCAGTGGGACAGGCGGCGGCTGTGGGGCCTGGGGCCTGCTGTGGGCTGAGCCAGGGCCTGTGGGCAGAGCAGGGTGTGGTGAGAGGCCAGGCCTGGGACACAGGGGACACACAAGTGATCAGAGCCAACCCTTTGTATGGCTGGGGATTCCGGAACTCACACAGCTCTGGAGCTGGGAGTGGATGTGATGCAGTGTGTGAAGCGGCTGGTCCAGGATGTCCCCCGGTGCCAGGTCAGTCACATTCCCCAGGACGTTCATTGTCAGAGTCAGCTCAGCCTGCAAGGCCATCGGGCGCTCCCACACCTGAGCATGGAGACAGACAGTTGAGGATTCCAGGTGAAAGAACACATGGGGGTTGACAGATGAGGACGATGGAGAGGGACACGTGAAGGTAACAGTGCCAGGGACAGTCGAGTTGACCATGTCAATGTGGTTAGTTAGGAATAGGTTTTGGGCCCAGGTGGTGAGAGAGTGGGCAGGGAGGAGAAGGAGAAGGTCGAGGGGCTGGAGAGCAGGCTGATTTTGGGACTGGCTGAGGGCAGCTAGAGTTGGCCTGTCACCTCACCTGCAGCTGCTGCAGCTCCCAGGCCCTGGGGAAGAGGCGGGAGAGGCACCTGACATCCTTCTTAAGTAGCATCACTTCCTAGAATGCAAGGCACAGTTTAGCTCATGGCAGAGGGATGAGGTTAGCCAATAATGAAGGGCAATGTCAGTCCACACAGGAGAGCACAGTTACCCCAGGCAGGAGGCAGGAACGATAGACCAATGTGTGGGACTGGGGAATGGCTAGCAGGAAGAAGGAGGCAGAGCCACCACACTGCAGGAGACACTAGACAGCCCACCCCAGTCAATCAGTAGCTAGGCCACGCAGACAGGGTGGAGCTTAGCCCACTGCAGCTAAGACACCTGCAGCTGAGCTGGCATGGTGACCCACCCAGGGAAGGCTGGAGGCTAGCCCACAGGTAGGATGGCAGAGGAGACTCACCAAGGCATCCTTGGCTCTCTTAAAGGCCTGCAGTTCTTGTGGGGCCAGAGACTTGAACTGGGACAGGTGGCAGTCCTGTGCATGCGGAAGGATCCTGGGGAGCCTGGGGACAGGACCTGCCCAAGTCCTGGTGAGCACCGTGGCCATCAGCGTCAGGATGAGAATGCAGCCCCCAGTCGTGTCTGCCACAGGAGGACAGCAAGTGAGGGTGAGGTCACTGGAGCTGAACGGGGAACTGTGGGGGAGAGCCCTGATGGGCCCATATTGAGGGACTCACCTGGCTTCATGGTGGTTTCTAGAGTTGTTGATGGATGGGGACCCAGGCGTGCACCTGTGGTTCCACCTGGGTTCTTAGTCTTGCTTGGAGTCTCTGGCTTCAGTCTGTCCTTACAGATCAGGCTGTGGTTCTGAGGTGATTGTGGCTCTTGGTTTCAGCTGTCTTGGACAGGATGGTGGCCCTAGCTCCATGGTGCTGCTTTTATCCTGACTGGACAGGCAGTCACAGTTGATGTAGGAAAAGTGAAAACACAGCCTAGGTGACATCAGCCACTAGGGGAGCCCCAGACTGGGGATGCCCAGAGCTGGGCGGGGCCAGAGCCAGGTGAGCAGTTGAAGAGAAAGGGAAAGTGACAGCCCCTGGGACTCATAGGCCAAGCAAGGTGACTCATGCTCATTTCTCAATGCATGCTTGGGTGTTGGCATAAGGACAGCGCGCAGAGAGGGGACCCGGAGCCATGCATGGGAGAGCTAAGTCTTGGGTCAGAAGGAACATTGGGATTTGTGTTCTGCAAGATGCCCATGTGGGGCTGATCTAGGGTCCCTGGGCAGTTCAGACTTGATAGCCAGAGCTGACCAGAGGGAGCCTATCAGTGGCAGGAGGAGACCCTGGGAGTAGGTTGTCAGATAGCGGTCAGTAGGTGAAACCCAAGAGTCAACAGAGTCCACCCTGCCCCACTATTCCAACCTGCACCTGAGAGGTGGACTAACCAGGGCAGAGCTGACTCATTTGGTGCTCAGGACAGAAGGACCCAGAGCTAGGAGGCTCTGCTCAGGAATCGGGTATGGCCCAGTGCCTCAGTTCTGAACCAGAGTACTTAGTGACAAATAACTTCATTCATCCAACAAGGATTTACTCAGTCCTCACTTTGTGGCTGACACTGGTCCAGGTGTCAGGAGAGAGCACTGGAAAAGGAAGGGAAGACCAAGGTAGAAGAATCCTTCAGGCACCTTTCCCCACAGCATCCATCCTGTGCCCATGGGGCGGGGCCTGGGGTCTGTGTCATGTCAAGTAGCAGAGGAAAAAGCAGGGCAGGAGGACAGGTGGACACCTGAATTGCTCTGAAGAAATGACATAGGCGCAAAGTCCCTGGGCAGTGAGGCAGGGAGCCCCCTGGAGCCTGAGGGCAGTGTCTCCAGGCCAGATGAAGTCAGAGATGCCCCATTTGGTGGACTTTCATGTCCAGTTCTGTCATGGACACTTTGTCTCAGTGTGTTATTGAATTGACATGGTCCCCAGCACCCTGGATGCCACATTTTCATTCAGTAGTAACAACAAGGACCCAAAGAGGTTAAGACACATATGCAAGGTCACACAGGAAATAAGTAGTGAGGGCAGGATTTTAAGCACATTTTCTCTGACACTTAGAGGGTGCCCAGTGCACACTTAGCCCTCTGTGCAGGCAGAGCTCCTGGGCGCAGACCTGATGGATTCCTTGGAGGGTAACGGGGCTGACCGTTGACACTTGACTCTCATTGGATCCATTCCTTCTTTCACTCACAAGTCCAGGGAGAGGATCAAAAGTTTAAACTCTTGGAGGTGTGATGTAGAAAAGTATTTCCAAACCAAGAGTCTCCTGTGTCCAGGTCACCTCCCAGTCCTGTCTCTCATATGTACTGCCCTTAGTTACAGGAGACATTGAAAGTCCTAAACCTCCAAGCTGACTTTCCAACCTATTTTTGAAGGGCTGGGATTGATCCCAGGGTTCCCACACGCAAGCCCATTGCTGGGCGGCTGAAGCCCATCCCAGCCCTGTTTCTCTTGGAGAGGAAGTTGAGGCAGTGAGGAGCACAGGCTCTGGTGATGAAAGTCAGGTGTTCACACCTGGCTCTGACCTTCACAAGCTTTTGTCTTGAGAAGAGATGTGCAGATAGAAGCGAAAGTTAGCTCACAGATTAGAGAAAAAATAACATATTTATTTGCATATTTAAGTGTGTGCTTATTTGACAAGGATAACTTATTGAGACCATTCTGTGATCTCAGCTGGAATCTTGTAAACATCACCTCACTATTTACCACTCCTTTGCAATGGAAGTCTAATAATGACATTTACAGATGAAGCACCTGAGGACTTGATTGACGTCTTTTCCTACAGTTTATGCTTATTAACGGCAGTCACCTGATTCCCTAGCTCAGTCTTTTTCTGAGGAGTACCCCTCCAAATGGACATACGAAAACTAAGGCTGCAAATGCGACACTGTAACAAGTGTAATGTATCAACACCAAGGAGACAGTAGCAACTACACGCAGGCATTTCACAGATGCAAGAGCACACATGTAACAGAATGCAAGATGACGGTAACTTAAGGTCCTTTGGCTTTCACTACCAAGTCCCTGAGAGAATGGGTCCCTCGTGGGGATGCAAGGAGCATATTCACAGGATCCACAGAATTCATAGGGTTGAAATCCCGGCTGGGGCCTGCAGCACAAGGGTGGGATTCTGGTAATATTGGAAGAAAGATCTTGTCCCAGTTCCAGCTCAGTTCTCTTCTTCCAGTGCGTCCTGGAAGAGCTTCGGGAACTCATCCCAGGGAAACGCAGTAGAATCCCTTGGAGCTGCAGTCTTCTGTTGGGAATAGTAAGTGCATTTCTGGCACCTAGCACAGGGGAATCAAGTCGGCCAATGGCGGCAGAGATGCATGGATTCTCCTCACCTATTGGCTGAGACCCGCTAGGTCCGGTGGACAGCAACCAATGGTGTGGAGAGTTCCTTAGACTCAGCTCCGCGCCCAGGGGAGCGGGGCGGGGTCACACGCAGGGTGCAGACTGCGCTGCCAGCCTGAGGTCCCGCGTGAGCAGGCGCAGCAGGTTGAAGATGACAGTGGCTTCGCGACAGCGAGGTGAGTCCTGGAACCCGGGAAGGAGGTGTGGTGGGACTGAGTCAGATTTTCCTTTCCAGACACTGCCCGCCACAGCCATCCCCCAGCTGTGGTCCCTTGTTTCCCCGTTGGCTTCCCGGGGTCATGGGCTGCGCCGTCCTTGTCACTCACGGGTCTCCGGGCTTTGTGACGCCTCCTCGGTGTCCGGGACGACGTCCTGGGGGAGTCAGGCGGGATCAGCTGCAGCTGGAGGTGGACGCGAGGCCAGTGAGGAAACCCAAGATTGGCGCCGCTCCGGTCCCCGCGGGTCCCTCCCACCTAGGACGCTAGCCCTCATCGGTGGGAAAGTGAACTGACTCTCCATCGGGTTCCCGCTAATGGGGACAGATCTGCCCAGCGGGCGGGACTCAGAAGGCTGAGGGCCCGAGGGCCCGGGCGTCACTCACGCAGGTCGCCACGTCCCGCTGCGCGGCCACAAGCAGCTCGAGGGTCGGCCCGATGCTGGGGACGAGCTCTGGTCTGCGCAGGCCGCTCAGCACCGCCTGGGCGTCCGCAATACCCCGGGCCACGTGGCGGAGCCAGGCACAGGACTGCGGGGACCCGCAGAGTTAGAGGATGCCGCCCCGCCCCACCAGCCCTGTCCTGTTCCGTCCCGCCGGGTCCCCTTACCGAGGGTCGCGCAGGGTCCCTGCGGGGGCGGACAGAGCAGTTGCGCGGTCGCCAGCTCAGCGTGTCCTCCTCCTGTGGGACAAGCGCCTGGTGAAGCGCGCCCTCCTGCCCCCTGGGTTCCCATCCCCGAAGGACCGTCCGGTCAGAGGCCGACTGAGAAGCACCCATACTCCATGGTCCCACCCAGGCGCCCGACATTTAGCCGAGGTTGCCACCGGGTCGCCTCAGGGACAGGACCCGAGGCCTGATGGGTGCCAACAATCAGGACTTGGGAAGCGCCCTGGGCAGAAGTCTGGACCCTGAGATCCAGGACACACTAGTGGGCGCTGGGTCACAAGCGCCCTTGCTATCTGGGACTAGGCGGGATGCGCGGCACTGGTTTTGCTCTTGGGCTGAGGAGCCTTGTCCCTCACTCACATAACGGTCCCTCAGCGACTTGGCGGCCGCCAGCACCCTGGGGTCCAGCGAGCGGTAGTGGGAGAGGACGCAGCCCCCGGATGCCTCCACACTAGGCTGGGCCACCTCGACCAGAGCCAACAGGACGCACAGCTCCGCAGCCACCGCGACCCCCCCACTCAGCCGCATCTTCACTCCTGAAGGAGGTGACCACATCAGTGAGACTAAAGCTAGGGGCTTTTGAGGCCAGCCCTTTCCTCTCTTCACAGTGTCACAGCACTGATGTAGGATCGCTGGCCATAGGCCCACACAGGGATCAGACTGAGTGGACCCGTGATGTCTTCCATCCTCGCAACTCTCTCCCCTCACTCCTCACCTGCACTGTGTGCCCAGCACCTGGTGCTTCTGCAGAGTATTGTCACCTCTGGCAGTAGTAACCAGATGGTCCATGGTGGCTTTTATGCACCTGGATGAGAAACGGTTCGAAGCAGGGCTTCCCCATCCCTGGTAATCTTTTCCAAACGTCACCCCTGGCCCCTGGCCCATGGAATCCTAGAGGAAGTCCTGGACTTTACTCCTAGTGGTCCTGTGCCAGTGATGACTCCTGCCCAAGTGTCTCTCCTGAGCAAACCGCCTGATCTGCCTTTCATACCAGACACCTGTCTGTCCTCTCTATCTCCTTCTTCCTCTTCTGCACTCAAGGAATGAACTGGTAACACTCCATTTCCTTCTCTTTGAGGACACAGGCCAGAAGACGTTCCCTTTGCACAGCCCCTGGCCTGGGCAGGTCACACTGCCTGTTCCTAATCCTGTGGACTTCAGCATCCTCTGTCTTGTGATTACACCTCTGTCTTTCTGTCAGTCTCTGTCTTTGTGTCTTTCTGTGCACTGAATAGCCTCTTTTCCCTTTTGGTTTTTCTTTCTCTGATCAAATCTCTCTCTGACTCTCATATTGTCTTCTTAAATAATATTTTCTTTTAATCAATTATAAAATTATTCTTTTCATGTATATAAATTGAAAAATGAGACCTGTTGAAAATATTCAGGAATGAGGGAAGGGGGGATAAAGGAGAATGATGGGGAGGGGTGAATTGGACTATGATGTATTGTAAGAACTTTTGTAAATGTCACAATGTACCCAAAGTACAATAATACAAAACCTGAACTTTTGGACCTATTTTGTCATGTGAAATAGCTCATACAGACTGAGCTATCCTCTGTGCAAGGTCCCACTCTGAGCTCTTCCCAGGAATCCCCTGGATTTTCTCCCATGACACTGTGAAGATGTCCTCTTATTGGCTGACATTTTACAGAGGAGGACACTGAAGCACAGACAGGTGTGGATTGTGCCCAAACTCACACAAGCTTGTAAAAGTGGATGGAGACTTGGTCCCCTGCTGCCTGAGTGACTGAGCTATTCCTTATTCAGCCTCTCAATGTGCCTGCCTTGCCTGTAATTAAGTTCATTGATATGTATTGCTGATTACAGGGAAGTGGGGACATTTCTGCAGTGTATATCTTCCTCAGCATTAAAGTGACAAAATATTTTTATTTTTTTCAGTGCATATTTTCTGAATTCAAAGCATCAGAGGTTTTTTGTTTGTTTCTATCCTGGGAAAAAGGCCTCCTGTTTGTTAGGCAGAGGATCTACCACTGAACCACATTGTCAGCCCTTTTTGCTTTAGTTAGCTTTCAGGTCACAGCTCACATTTTCTCTCAGGACTGGCCTCAGGACTCTGACTTAAACCAACATCCCTCTACCCACAGCCTCCAGTGCAGCTGGGATCACAAGTGCCGCACTAAGGCTAGCTTATTATTGATATGAGGTCTTGCTAACCTTTTGCCTCCCTCAAACTTCTATCATTCTGATCTCTGCCTCCAAGTAACTGGGATTACAGGTTTGAGCCATTGGAACTTGTCCGAGGTTTAAAGAAACATCAAAATGGTTGAAGAATTAAAAACTCTAAAAGTCCACTGAAACATTAGATGAGATCAAAGGCATCTGTGAAGCCTATTTTCCAAGCTGCCCTTACCTTTCCTCACCCTTCACAGCCTCCCTCATTTCAGGAAGGGATCAGGTAATTTTGGGATGGAGTAACTGACCTGGTTACAGCCATTTCCCTGGATTTCTCTCTCTGGCCACAGCGATTGGATTTGTGGGGGTCATGTGACCTGAGGCTGAGCAATCAGAATGGGGAAAGATGCTATGCTCTTCCTAATGGAGACAAACGCATCCAAAAGGCTGAGAGGCAGCTAGACCCTCTTGAAACTTCAAGTGTAAACAGCCTTCCCACTTGCAGACAATATGATAGATTTTTAACAAGAAACAAACTGGAAGCTTCATGGTGTCTTAAGCTACTAGATCAAACCTTACCTGAAGCCTATATCCCACATCTGTACTTCTCAGTTTTGTTGGCCCATCTGTTCTCCATTGCTCAAGCCAGCTTGAGTTGTGTTTTTGGTTATTTGCCACCAAACGTCCCATCTGATACACAGAATAGGACTGACATAAAATCACCAAAGAAAAAGACAAGCAGACATAAATTTGGTAGTGCTGGAAGAATGGAGTGCTCTATGAATCAGATGCAAATTATTGACAGAGTGATGAACACTGAGCACCACAGTGGTTATTAAACTCAGATTTTGTATGATAAAATGAAATTTAATACATCCCAGTCAAAAGGGTGCTTCTGTTAATGGCACTTGTGCAGTCTGTGATCAGAAGGCTTCCAAAGTCTTTGTATCCCACCTGGAAGAATCCATGGCAGGACCTGTGGTATACAGAGTTTATTAAAAATTAGGGAAGGGAAATACAAGGGGAAGTGTGGTGGAACCCAGGTGGAAACAGGAAGCAAGAGCGTGTTTCTGCTCTTCAGGTGCTTTTAAAACCTACGCTAACCTTGGGAAGGGAGAACAAGGTGATTCCCATCCACTAATCCCTGAGTGGAGAGGGGCATGGGCGGTTCCCAGCCAGGTGAGAGCAGTTCCTGAGCCAAACAAGGTATGGTTAATCTAAGATGTAATATTTTTCTATGAGTTCCAAACTTTCCCTAACTTAGCCTGCCTCACTTGTGACTGCCTGAAACCATAGGCTATTGAAAAAGAAACTTAAGTAATGTAAACAACAACAGAAGCTCCAGAGAACATTTTTTGTGATCTAATCTCTGTGTCACTCAAACATTGTTGGTACAAAGGGGTAGTGGTGCAGCTGTTCTGAACACTGTTTGCTAGGTTGCTTGTAAAACAATCTATGAAAGCCAGGTGGTGTAGTGCATACCTGTAATCCCAGCTACTTTGTTAGCTGAGACAGGAGGATCTCAATTTCAAGCACGCTTAGGTAAAGGTAGTGAGACTCTATCCCAAGAAACATAGAACAGGCTGTGCCATAATTATAGGCACAAGTCATAATTGTGCCTATAATTTCAGGTACTCAGCACAGCATAAGTAGGAGGATCACAATGCAAAGCCAGTCTGCTGACAAATAACTCTAGACCCTACCTGAAAGATGAACTAAAGCAAAAAGGGCAGGGACATGGTTCAAGAGGTGGAGTGGTTGGCTGACAAGCCTGAGGCCATGAGTTCAACCCCAGTACTGCAGGAAAAAAAAATCAAACTCCTAGTTGCTCACCAACTGTAAGCCTAAATATTTACTCCAGAGAAACAAAAATGTGTCCATGCAGTAGCAGAGTTGTTTGCTATCCAAATGTGGATAGTAGCTTTATTTTCAATAGCTGACAGTGGAAACCCCTTCGCCTTAAGGCACAAATGGTTTCACAAATTCTAGCACTTGTATACTATGTGTTAAGGCATCGCCTATCACAGTCTGAATGTCCAGAGAACTATGCTGAGTGAGGAATGTGGTCCCTTACTCGTGTTCATCTGTCCTGACATCCAAACAAGGGGTTTTGTGTGACATAAGCCTTCATTTTCTGCAATAAGTGCCCTGCAATGCAAGTGCTGTGGCTTTTGGTAATTGGACGCAGAGTCTTTTCAGCAGTGCCAAAATGATTTCTGAAGCAGCTGCACCATTTTTGCATTCTGAGTAGCGATAGATAAGTGTTGTGATTTCTCTGTATCCTCACAGCAGTGAGTGCTACCTATCTTTTTATCTGTTTTGACAGGTGTGTAGTGATATTGCATTGTGACCGAGATGCTGGGAATGGAGCCCAGGAAGTGCAAGGCCAGTTTCTTGCCACTGAGCTCCATCCTCCTCCCTTGGTTTTTAAGACAGGGTCTTGTTATGAAGCCCAAGATGGCCTGGAACTCTCAATCCTCCTGCCTCAGCCTCCTGATTGCTGGAATTACAGGTGTGTTCTAACATGCCTGGCTCATTGATAAACTGACAGTTTATATGGTTAATTCAAAAGACCCAGAATTCTAAATTGCCAACACTTTTTTTTTGGAAATTGCTTTAAAGAAAGCTTTATTTACCATATACATTCTAAAAATGTACTGTACATGAAGCAAAGCCTAAAAAGCTTTTCAAATACAAAGCAGCTAAAGCTAAGATCCCAAATACTAGCATGTTTGAGAATGGAACTCAAACATTTCAGAAACATTTGTATAGTTATTCTTTACCCTTTAATAAAGTCCATTTCTCAAGTTGTAGACTCACCTCTGTAGTGTATCTGAAACCACATGAGCAGGTAAGACCATAGACAGGAGGCTCTCAGATACTTAATTGGCTATCGACAGCATTTATTATTATTATTATTTGATGGAACTGGGGTTTGAACTCAGGGTTTCATGCTTGCAAAGCAGGTGCTCTACCACTTGAGACATACCTCCAGTTCATTTTTCTCTATTATTTTGGAGATGGGATCTCTCAAACTATTTACTCAGGCTAGCCTCAAACCTCAATCCTCCTGATGTCAGCCTTCCAAGGAGCTAGGATTACAGACATGAACCACCAACACTCAGCATCACCATTTTTTTTTTTTTTTGGAAAAGGTAGTTTGTAGCCCATTCAATATTAAAAAGCAAAATCTTTAAGACTTACTATAAAGTGGTCATAACTAAAACATTTGTATTGGTAGAAGGATAACAAATAAATAAACCAGGACAGAATAAGGAGGCCAGGAATGGACCCACACTAATCTTCAAGAAAGGAACAAAAACAATACAATGGAGAAAGGACAGGTTTTTTTCAACAATGGTGCTGCAACACCAAGGGAGCACATACAAAATAAATGAACAAATGAACCTAGTCCCAGATCTTTCACAAAAGTTAACTCAAAATGCAATGTAGACCTAAAAATAAGATGCAAAGCCAAGAACGTGCCTAGAGGATACCATGGGGGAAAATGTGAGTGACTTTGGGTTTGTTGATGACTTTTTGGATTCAGTA